ATCCAATCCTTCCACATTTTGGATTTCGTTTTCTTAAAATGACCTATTTTTCTGCAATTCTAGCATTTTGGAGGACCACTGTAGTTTTTGAATATTTAAGTAAATTGAACGGTAATTCCACATTCCCAACATTTTGGGTTCTGTTCTCCCGTGTTTCTAACAGTGGCTTTGTACACATCGATTATGCAATCCTTAATGAGCGACATGATATCGTCCTTTGTAATTGTACTATCGTCGATTTCTGCTTATCGTACTCGCACATTGTCTTACTTCGCCACTTCAAAATCCATGGCCTGTGACAGTGTTTCACTTAGAGTCCTGAGGCGTGCTAATCTAAGGACTTGCTGTAGATCACCGTCTTTGACTTCATCCATAAATGTTTGTACTGCCAGTTGATCTATTAGCTTATGAGGGGCAGAAGGATAGGCTAATATTACGAGGCGCTCCACATCGGATTTAAATAGTTGAAGAGTCGCTCAAAATCCATCATTCTGATGATAAGAGAAACTATTGATGGTATAATGAAATTATTTAGAGTTTGATTGCTTATGTTTATTTTTCATATTGTGCTTCTATATCATCATTCTTTACGATTTCAAGTATTTGTGGTTTAATCTACTCGAATACTTTCTCTTGTTCTGCATCAGTCATTGACAGCACTAGTACTAATGTCAAAAGGTGCTTCGAAAGTCATTGAGTTGGAGGGTGAAATTATTTAGAGTTTGATTGCTTATGTTTACTTTTCATATTGTGCTTCTGCATCATTTAATATTCCTTCAATATAAGCCTTTGGCAATGGTTCATATTCATCTCATATATCTTTAAATTGCGGATCGCTTACGATTTCAGGTATTTGTTGTTTAATGTACTCGAATACTTTCTCTTGTTCTGCATCAGTCATTGACAGCATAGTACTAATGTCAAAAGATGCTTTAGAAGTCTTTCATTGGGTCGGAGTAAATAGGATTTGCTCTAAGAATGCTTGCTCAACATGTTCTTCCTCTTTTTTAATTTCTTACTTAATTTCGGGTTTAAAAATTTAATTTCTTTTATTATCTTCTTCCTGCATAGCATCTTTTGAAGGTTGGAATTAGAAGTGCTCTTCACCCATTTGCTGCTCATAGAACACTTAGAATCATACAAAGCTTGCAGATATGTGCATATATTATATATTGATCAAAGCGACCAGTTTTAACATCGTTGTCTCTATGAAAACTTAAAAAATCATAAAAGATAAGCTGATAAGAAATTCTGAAAATTTAAATTTAACATTTAAGATGACATATGTCGGTGTTAACGTTATCTGAATAAACATGCTTAAGATTTAGCTCACCCTATTTGAATAACATAAGTAGTAAGGTTTTCATTATTGTGAACTAGGTCAGTGGCGGACTAAGCCCGTCAGAGGTCCGGGGCGGCAAAGCTGAATGAGGCCCCTCAGCTTTTAGTTTTTTAGATAGTTTTTTTATTTTTTGTAGCGTGTTATGTGTGTTTTCGTGCCTTCAATTTACTGAACT